CCCCAAAACCCCAAAACCCCAAAACCCCAGCTCAGTGTTAAAATACTGAAACCCTGACTTTTCCTTGTATATAATAATTTTTAATGAAATTTCCAATATGTTACATTCATGATTGCATTAAACAGGCAGCTTACTATCTGATCAAGCAGCACAGCTACATATGAACTAATGATTTCCAATATGAAAAGATCAAAGAACCATACGAATATGAGGACAGCAATGTGGTTCCATTAATAGAACCTTCCTTTGTCCAAAAGAAGATTGAGAATGCACTGAGATGTAGCCAAGAATTTAGAGATTACTTAGAACACAATTGAGGGGATAATGAAGTAGTTCAAATTTGTACAAAAGAAAATGGAGATTTGAGCTTTAGGCTTACACAAGTTTCTGTGGATTTGATAAAACCATGTGAAGGAAATAAGTATATAAAGTTCTTTGAGTCTCTTGAAGAAGTTGCTGTTATCGAGAAGGAATTGAATAATATGAAACTGTATCAGGTATATATGAGAGAGAAGGCTCAAATGAGTTTATTATAAAACACAAGAGAGTATACCAAAAGACTGGCGCTGATTTGATCATGAATCATAATGATTTTAAGCATTGTGAGTGAAAGAGTAGGATATTTTTACAACTTTTATACAAAATAATTGAATTAAAATTTTGGCCTGAACATCTGCTAACTGCATAATAGTTACTCAGGCTCTGTTTATGGTTTACTGTATTGTTAATTTAGATGATTTGCTACCAAGTGCATTGAAAGAGGTTCAATTGAATTGAGATTATGGTAATTGTAAATTTTAAAGCATTAATCTAGCTCTCGTCAATTGAATAAAAATTGATTTAGAAATTGTTGGTTAGCTTTATTTAAAGCAAATACAGTTTTTACCTCTCATGCTTTACGTGCTTTCATATTAGAAAACTCATTTTATTTCAAAAAGAAGATCATCAGAGGCTCAACTACATCTTTCAGTCTTCAAAATTCAAGTGGCATTACACTCATTTAACCATTTTTGGATATGCAAGATCTGCCAAAAATGTTTTGATTTTCACCTAAAGTCTTTGTTCTGCTAATTGATAGAACCCAGGGAGTACTCTTAGTTTGTCTCTTGTCATTCATACTCAGGAATCACGATATACTTTATGAAATCCGTTTACTTATGTTAATCAATACCTGAATCTGATAAGTCTGAAGAATAACAGGAGGCTTATCTCCTTCATACCTATGAAGCAGAGAAATCTTCTGGTTCGTTAATTTCTGTACAAAATATTTTCAGATGATGCATTAAGGCTTTAGTTCATTTTTATTTTTTTGTTTATCGAGGAAGTTCTCGTTATTTTACAACTATAAATAGAATTTGGTCATATTAAACAACTTTTTATTAAGGAAATTGGTATTATTGAGATGAAACTTCAAACTCTATTAATTACTTTAGCGTTAGTAAGCCTTTCTGGTATAGCTCGTTTTAAGTATCCTTAGATGTCTTTCAATCGTTTAAAGATTCGTGTTTGAGCTTAGTAATATTGTTTTGAAGTTCTTATGAGTTGGGCTTTCATGAAAAATATTTCATTGCCAAAATGTCAATTTTCATTTGATAGTAAATTTTAGGAATAATGTGCTATATTACCTAAGATTAAATATATGTTGGCCTTCTAGACTGAACACAAACTTGGAGTATGAGTTTTATTAGAAAAATGCATCCAATATCACAAAATCTGGCAATAATTTTCCGAACTTTGTAAACTTCACAAGCCATTTGAAGATTTTTCACACAAATTTCTATTCATGACTCAAATCAAACCCATTAAAACCCTACTACCCCACAAAATCCTCACCAAAACCCTTCAATCTTCTCCTCCTTACAACCACCAGACTGCCCGCTCACTCCCATCCCCTTCAAGCCACTCTTCATCCTCTATTCTAGAACATCTCCTCTCTTACACAAACCTCAACACCTATATGCAAAATCTCTCAATTTGTTAACAGTAATTCTCCATCTCTCCTTCCAGAGTGGTTTTTTTGCTTTAAACAACGGTTTTGGAGTTGTATTAGTGGGTTTTTGGATATCCATTTTTTGAGGAGTTTGAGTTGAGTTTTGGAGGTGGCGATGAGGATGGATAGATGGTGGAGAGTTTGGGAGATGGTTTAGAGATTGGCTTTAGGACATTAGATGTTTATGATGTGACTGAAAATGGAAGTTATTTAATATTTAGAGATGGATTAGTCCAGATTTTAGGAAACAGCTAGTTTAAAAGAAGAAGGTTGTTTTGAAAGTTATATTTTTGGAATATAAAAGTTGGATTTGTATTTTATCCAATTATTGAGATGCAATTAATGGAATGAATATAGAGGAAAAGAAAGAACCAGCCCTGAATATAGATGCTAAAAGTAATGAGAACGACCAAAATAATATGTCAAAGAAAACCTTAATCTCTAAGCTAGAGCAAATGGCAATTGAAAAATGAGAGCTTGTAAAAGGTATTAAACTTTTAAAGAAGCACATAAAAGAACTTGAAACAAAAATGGAGCACTATGAACAAAACATTATAGCAATAACTGAAGGGCTGAATATTTCTGTAAATACTTATGCTCCAATATTCAACCCTTCAATTATATCTGGAGTAAAACAAAGAGAAGACTCAAGGATAATGACCAAGAGCAAGAGAGAAGTATAAAAGAAGAACTAGAGAATAGTAACAACCCAAGCCTTACTACATCTGAAGAGGTTTCTAAGATCCGTGACCAAATGGTGAAAGTCCTAGTAGAACTGAGCTACTCCCAACAACAGGCATGTCTTAAGTTATATCAAGATATATAATCTATTTTTGGATTGAGTACGAATGCTAATTTAAGCATTGGATGATAGCTTGCTGGTAGAATAATGGGGATACTTTAAGGGTTGAAAGAAGAGTTTAATTTGGTTTAGAGTGTTCTGGTAAAAATTTAGTTTTGATTAGAGGAAATACAGGAGTTAGGAAGAGACAGTGTTTAGTAGTATATTTTTAGGGTATTTTGATTGAACAAAGAAAGCAGATGAAGATGTTATGACTCAATATAAAATTTGAACAAGTTATAAACCAGAAGATTTAGGTTTTTTCAAAGTCAAGAAACTATCTAGCCTTTAGAATATATCCAAATTCTGCAAAGTATGCTTCGAAAAATAGCAAGAACCCCAATTTAATAATCCAAAAACAACTAAATTATGCTTTAGCGTTTCTCTTAATGTAGCTAACTCTTATAACTTTAAGCATATAGATTGATTTTCTGATCCAAGAACGTCAGAACAATCAAGAAGTCTGAGAACAAAAGTTGAGCCAACAGTTAGATGAACTCAGACTACGCTACGAGCAAGATATGCTTAATAAGATTCAAAATAAAGACTCAGAGATTCAGCAACTACACAGTTATTATCAGAAAGAAAACGAAGGACTGCAACAAAGTATTGAAATCCTTACTGAAGAGAAAAAGTGTATCGAGGAAGATTACGAAGTATTGAGCAAATCTCTGAAGAACCATGAGGAGTACACATATGAAGAGTTTAATAGCCTACATGATGATGTATGTGATTAAATAACTTTGTAGGAACAAAATAAAATCAAACCTGAAGCTAAAATGAGATTGCACCTAGATCAGTGGGAAAATATTCAATTACTCAGAAGCTTGAAAAAGAGAATGCCAGAGATATATCGTTTAGCTATTCATAATATGCCATCTAAATGTGAGGAAGTGAGAAAACTACTCTTAGAAAATTTTCCTGCCAGAGTCCAAGTTTTTAATTTCAATTATTATTCTTACCCATCAGGAGTCAGCCCCTTTCTATCTATCTACAAGAGAGAACTGATAATAATTAGTCAGAGAGTTCTCAAGGACTGTTATATTTATAACTTTAAAATATGACAGTCAGACCTAATTATTCTTTTGTCGAAATATAAGCATGTAAAAATATTTGGATTTATTGATTGCCAACTTGAGAACCTCCCTAATTTGAAGTTTGATGAAGATTTTAAAGATTGCCTTAAAGAAACCAATTTGATCAAATTTGATCTTAATCGATGTTTCACAACAACAATTGGTGATTGGGCTGACCACAGTTACTTCGAAAATCTTATAAGAAGATTGGGTAGAGAAAAGGATTTTGTGGAAAAACTTAGGATGATAGAACTTGAGGGATGTGGGATGCACGAACACGAAATCAGAACTATTCTAAATGAAAATGGGTTTGAAAAGGCAAAAATTATTATATAAGAGGACGAACATCTATATCTCCAACTCTATACAATAACTGTGATTAATTTTGGAATAAACAGATCTTCAATATATCTGGAATACTGTGGGGTTTTGGGGTTTTGGGGTTTTGGGG